ATTAGACTAGGTTGCTGTACAACACCAGCCTAAAATATCCTACTCTTCTGTAAGAATTGTTTGTAAATAATGTGACATGCAGCAATTGTTACAGTAGTGGTGTAATATTAAATATTATGTAATATTTATGTAAACACTTAAAATTATATATACATTTATGAGTAAATTAATTAGCCTCTTATCAACCTCGTGTAATGAAAAACCACAATTGTTATTTTGGTTCAGACCTCAGAAAAAATATAGTTCTTGTTGTAAGTTCTGTTCACTTGTTAGCAGAGATTGAAAAAGTTAGGCAAGAAAATTGTATAGCAGTGTCTTCCTGCAATATTTAATGTATATGTATATATGTGTAAATATTGCACTAAAGTTTATATAGATCCTAATCAGGATCTTGTATCTAGGTTCAAAGGACCAAAATTTTGTGGGAAAATCCTAGCAAGCTTTAATTGTTTTTATTCTGTGAATATTCAAATATTTACTTTATTTTTATGTTTTTATTAGACTTTAATATTATATTATTTTTATTTAATTATTTTTTTTCTGAGTTAGTTCTTAGTTCTTAGTTAGATAGTAGTGGACTGTATATATTCTGATTCAGCCTGCAAAAATATTTCACACACAGTTAGGGGGACAATTTGTAGCTTAACCACTTAACTGCGCCAACCGAGTTTTCTCGGGCGGCGGGAAACTGCGCCAACCGAGAAAACTCGTTTTGAATTTTCGTAACCAATTCTAAATGTGTACGAAGTTGGTTGTGTACGAATTGGACTCTTAGGACCTCCAGTGAGAGGCAGCCATCTTGGAAAAAAATCCCAGAATACCCTTGGGCTGTTGGCTGGGTTAGTACTGAATGAGCAACCATGGGTGGCGCACGCACCTCTGGCTCCCAAACACCTGTCCGACGCGGTGTTGAAAGATAATGCTCTGTCGGTGAAATTCAAACCTTATTGTTTGAAGAACATAAGGGTCATAATATTGGGGAAGCCAGGCGCAATAAGGACCTAACACAAAGGTCGGATGCAAGTGATACAGCACCTATGAGGACGATATAGCGAGCGTATCCAGTTGTAGCTCTGAGCGTCACCCTTGCAATCCTATGCTATTTATTTACATGATACTTAGATGAATCGTTTTCTGCGTTCAGTGATGATGCATCTGATACAAATAGCATAGATGAACAGTGTTAGCGGCTTCCATGGTGGTGTTTTCCATAGATATTTTCAAGAATGCCTGAATCTCTTCGTGACCCGACGGACACTCTTGAGGTAAGCTGAATCTCTTCCTGTGTGGGACCATACAAAGCGATCTTTTCAAGACTACCTTACAAATTGATCTTTTCCTATAATCTTTTCAATACTACCTTATGCTTTACAAGCTTGGTTACATACAACCTACAAGTTCTAAAGCCAAGGGTGTGCGTAATTTGCAAGCACACAATGAAGAAACAGGAAGCGAAAATTTATCTGTACCTGGTGCACTGAGAGCACCAGGAACACGGGACTTTGACCCGTGTCCCTCCCCCCCCCTTCTTCCCTGGAATTATGTCGGAAATCGGACACACATAATAACATAAGTTACCCATTAAAGAAAAAGAGAACGGGTATTCCATGACGTCACACAACACGACATATATTATATATCTCATCTCTTTTTAAACCTCAGTCTAGTATTTAAACTTAATAAAAAAGTGTTCACTATGACTGAATATAATTTCCAACACCAGGAATATAGCTTAACTCTCTATTCCTTAATCATAAATACAACCACCAAATATTTTGGGACGTCTCCCTTAGGACATTGTCACGTACACGCAGCAATTTGTAAACACAGTGAGGAAGCTCTCCCTGACAAAATTTTACAACACATAAGGGTTCTTTCTTCGAGCTTCGACTCAGGGTCCTCTACGATCCGCCCAACGGAAGATCTCATGAACAAAGGGCAGAACAACTTTCGGTATTTCTATTGAATTTAATACTGGCTATTATTATTATTATAAGGAAATATCGTAAAGACGTGGGATTAAATCTCCAAACGAAGTGAGTTTACTCAGCATCACACACACATAGTCCATGTCATACCTGTACTTATATGTTTAGGGAACTATTATTAATTCCTTACACTCAGCAGGTAATTGTGTGTTGGAGTTACAAGAAATTGAGCAGACCAATATAACTGTGATTGCAGCCACTAGCTGTACATCAAGCCTTGTAGGCCTCCAGACAGCCGACATTACGTGGCACTCTGAGGCACAGGGCCACACCTAATTCTGATGCTACAATTACACAGCCTTAGCAGGCCCCACCAACAGTATCATCTAAGGCCCCCCTTTTATTTTATGCTGTAGATAGATTAATTATAATTACAGTAGATTAGACCAGCATATGGTATGATTTTAAATATATATATCAAAGACTAGGTAAACAATTTGTGGTTTATGAAGGATCCACCTCCAACTGGTTTAAGCTACAAATTGTCCCCCCAACTGTGTGTGAAATATTTTTCCAGGCTGAATCAGAATATATACAGTCCACTACTAACTCAGAAGAAAAATAATCAAATAAAAATAATATAATATTTAAGTCAATTAAAAAATAATAATAAAATATTTGAATATTCACAGAATAAAAACAATTAAAGCTTGCTAATATTTTCTGCAGGTGGTCATGCCATTGCTGGTGGTGACGCCATGGCTGGTGGTGACGCCATGGCTGGTGGTGACGCCATTGCTGGTGGTGACACCATGGCTGGTGGTGACACCATTGCTGGTGGTGATGCCATGGCTGGTGATGACGTCATGGCTGGTGGTGACGCCATGGCTGGTGGTGACGCCATGGCTGGTGGTGACGCCATGGCTGGTGGTGACACCATTGCTGGTGGTGACGCAATGGCTGGTGGTGACGCCATGGCTGGTGGTGACACCATTGCTGGTGGTGACGTCATGGCTGGTGGTGACGCCATGGCTGGTGGTGACGCCATGGCTGGTGGTGACGCCATGGCTGGTGGTGACGCCATGGCTGGTGGTGACACCATTGCTGGTGGTGACGCAATGGCTGGTGGTGACGCCATGGCTGGTGGTGACGCCATGGCTGGTAGTGACGATATCATTGCTGATTGGTGACGATTGCATGGCTGGTGGTGTCGTCATGGCTGGTGTTGACACCATGACTGGTAATGACGCCATAGGTGCTGGTGATGATTCCATGGCTGATGGTAAACACCATGGCTAGTGGTGACGAAGCCACGGATGGTGGTGACACAATGACTGATGGTGATGCTGCGATGGGTGGTGATGACGCTATGGCTGGTGGTGACGCCATGGATGATGATGATGCCATTGCTAGTGGTGTTGCCATGGCTGGAGGTGATGCTATAGCTGGTGGTGACGCCATGGCTGGTGATGACGCCATGGCTGGCGGTGATGCTATGGCTAGTGGTGACGTTATGGCTGGTGATGACGCCATGGCTGGCGGTGATGCTATGGCTAGTGGTGACGTTATGGCTGGTGATGACGCCATGGCTGGTGATGACGCCATGGCTGGTGGTAACGTTATGGCTGGTGATGACACCATGGCTGGTGATGACACCATGGAAAGTTGTAACGCGGTGTGGGGGGAAATAGCTCTATCTTGTCCATTGTTCCACCCCTATTTAACTATTCTAATGGGGGAGTGGGGAAAAAAGCTCTCTTTTCTCCATTATTCCCCCCGCCCCACCGCCAGTTAGCTAATCTAAAGCTCCCCCCAGAGTCCCTACTGCAGCTCTCTAATTAATGACCTGGTGACCTAGGTATTTAATTACCTAGGTGTAAAGACCATAAGGCATTGTAACCTGATCAGGTACCCGTGACTCAAGAGAACTCTAGAGCAATTCACTTTCACGAACGAATCAGAGAAACGAAAAGAAAGAGATGAATAAAACAGTAATTAGTGAGGGTTTGGGGTGAGGGAGGAAGGAGGACTAGGCAGGAGGAGGGAGGAGTGTGGTCAGGTAAAAGGGAGAGTGGGAGAGAGGGTACGGAGATGAATAAGAAGTGGTGGTGGAGGTAGAAGTAGAAAAGTAGATAGTAGAAGGTAGACTGCTACCATTCATTCAAGACCATTATATACAAGACAAGGAATGGAACTTGTCGGTATTACAAACTTCTCTAAAATGTATCAACAGGTCATCATTAGCATGATTTAACTGGAATCATGTTCCAGACAAGATTCTTTAACTAAAGAGTATTTTACACTCTGTTTTGCATATATCATAAATTCCAAGAACTCGGGAACACAATTAATGTAAAATTAAAAGTAAATGAATCAATTAATTATTTAGCATGATAAATATCAGAATTCCAGGAATCGAACTGAAGGTTCATTATTAATGTACCAAGTGAGTCACTACACCAGAATTCGAGACCATTACAGCCGTCTGCCCCCTGATTGTCACACAACACTAGTAAACACGACTACGTCACCTTTCATGATCAACTCACCAGGTGTCTGCCTATAGCTGGCTAGAGAGGTGGGGGTGGGGGGGGATCAACTGTGCCTACTCTCAAGCTAAACGAAATTTCTTTCATCCTAAACCTGCTTCCAGCACAGTGTACGTATCAGTGTACTATGCCCTCCTTCCATATCTGAAGTCAAAACTTTTACCGATACCTTTCGTCCTCTTGACATTAAGCTCGCCTTTCGACAAACTAACACACTTCGTAGCAATCTAGTTCACACTGCTCCTCCTGCTTCTAATGCTGCTGGTGTCTACTCTATTTCCTATTCGTCTTGTCCTCTCCAATACTTTGGCGAAACTGGCCGTACACTGAATGACAGACTTAAAGAACACAAGAGAAGTGTTAAGTCTGCAGACACTAACAATGCTCTCTTCTGTCATGTGAGGGATTCTAATCATCCCATTGATTGGACTTCCTCCAAAATAATCTTTCCTGCCTCTACTCGACACAGACGCCGTCTTGCTGAATCCGCTCTAATACATCTTATTCTACTCTTTGCAGAAACGACCGGGATCTTATCCATCGACCACCAAAGAACTGTATTTTGTGATATGGGTGCTTAAAACAACAAAATCATGAATTGTCAAGAAATTAATTTAAATTTACAACATAAACTTGGAGAACAAGTGTATTATCTCGGGTGATATAATGCCGAACAGATTATGCAGATTGATATTTTAAAACAAAGACCACTGAAACCTATGGTCTTTATAGCTAATATTTTACCTAGTGACAGCAAAATATATATGGAGCATTGGGTGTGTGTATATACTTAGACATGCTCACTCGCCATTTATTCTTTTTTGACAGTTTTGCTCTATCGCCAGATTTTAATAGTCCTTATTTTATAAAGTTTATTGAAAAACTTAATGTTAGAGAAGTGCATACATCATTGTATAGAATCTAGAGTGATTTTAGTCTCACTTGTGGATTATATTGCATCATGTTTGTACATAAAGTTACCCACCAGGGATTAAATTGAACCTTGCTATATTTGAAAAATGTATTTTCTAAAGTACTTTTAGACTTAAATGATAAGCGTGTTCTATCATACGCCAGACATTATTTTCCAATGAAGCAGCCTTGTGAGAGAACGTTTTGCAGAGGCCTGGCTATTGGGTCTTATCAATGGTGCAAACGATTCTTGTGTGAGACACAACCACACGTTGATGCTTAATTATCATTTATATAAAATAAGATATTTACCTATCATATAATAAGTACAGTGGAGACGTAGAAAGTGTAAAGAGGGTGGGGAATGTGGGGTTTCTTGCCCCTCCCATAATATTAAGGAGGGGGGGGATGCGCGGGGTCTCCGGCCTATAAAATCCCGAGACCAGCCAAGAGCCTTCACCATACAGAACACTGGTGTTTGAGAACATGGGCAACCCACAACAGCAACAAGATGCCCGTCCAAAGGTGGTCACCCTTGAGGCTCCTGGTGAATACTGTTTTTTTTAAATTGTTAGTATGAGTTATGGTCATCTGCAAATTTTTATAAATAAGAGAAGTGTTACCATCTTACATTTATAATGTAAATCTCTCTCTTTTCAGCTAATTTTACTGGGTTTGTTCACATTTGAAGAGATGTGATTCTACAGGGTAGTTCTATGCTGGAAAGTTTGCTGCTAAGTGGCGCAGCTAGAGTCACCTGTTGTGACCACCAGAAGCTCAACCCCGAAAAGACAGAGGTTAGTTTATACATATATAAAAGTAATGTATACTCATATATATTTATATGTATTTGTATTGACTGAATCTTAATTTCCAGAAGCTCAACCCCGAAAAGACAGAGGAGAGTTTATACATACATAAAAAGTAATGTATACTCAAATATATATATATTTATATTGACAGAATCTTAATTTTTTTTTAGGAGGGAGTCAGTTCCCCCACCGAGGGAGGGGAGACCACTCATAATAAGGATGATGACAAGAATTCTCCTACAAAGAAATTCAAATTAAGAGATGAAGAGATAGAGGAACAGGTCAAGATGGAGGTCATCTGAGACGATGTGGTAGAGAAGGCACTTGTCTCTGAAGATGTGGTTGAACAAGCAAAACGTTCAAAGGTAGAGAATGAACCAGAGAGGGAGCAGACCGATATATCAGAATAACAACAATGTCAGCTTTATTAGGGACTTTGTATAATAGTGCAATTAATAAACTTCTCAACAATTGATTGATTATTATTTTCCTTATTGAATAATTGTAGGTATAGGATGGATGGAAACACACTCTCTCACTCAGTTAAACAAGTAGACTTTGATTCAGTCTTGGGCAGCTTCCAGAGACAAATATGATTCTTATACTGATAAAGCCACACAAATACTTACCATCCACTAATGATATCTAAAAACTGATGTCAAACAACGATAAATTCTAATAAGAGAGAGAGAAACCACGTAACTTCCCAGAAACAAGTAAGATTCTGATAACACCACACAAATTACTTTCCATCTGTTGAGAGGTGGAACCAAAGACCCAAAGCTCCACCCACATACAGACACAAATGTAAAGCATTAAACATGTTTGATCATTGAGAGGTGACAAATATGAGAGTACAACTAGGAGAGCTTACACACACACACACACAGTAACACCAGAGGGGTGGACAACCCTGCCACCCTCTTCTGCATAGAAAACCCCCCCTACCACAAACTCTCCCTGCCCCCACTCAAATGTTCAGCCAAATCTCCCTCCCCCACACCCAATCCCCACCCTTCTACCCCTCCTCTCCCCTCTTCCCGCCGAGTCCTCCCTCTCCCCCTTTCCTTCCTGTCCTCCCTCTCCTTTCACCCCATACCCTCCCCCTTCACTGGATCCCCCACCCCTCATCACAGTATCCTCTGAGGATACTGGGATGAGGGGCGGGGATATAACCTGTTATCCACCTCACAGGTCCTCACACCCATGGAACAGCTTCCCCCACCAGCAGAACACTCACCAAGTAGGCGATTCGAGAAGGGACAGAAGAAAGTGAGCCTCAAAGCAATGTACACTAACATAGATGGAATAACAAATAAAGCAAATGAGCATGGAGAACAGGTACTAGAGGAAAACCCAGACATAATAGCCCTCACAGAAACAAAGCTAACGAAAACGATAACAAACGCAGTGTCCCCACAGGACTATTATGTTATGAGGAAAGAGAGGGAAGGAAGAGGTGGGGGTGGTGTAGCTCTGCTGGTAAGAAAAGGCTGGGATTTTGCGGAGATGGTTATTCAGGGCTGTGAAGGTTTCAGTGACTACATAGCAGGTACCATAACAAATGGAGAGAAAAAATTATAGTCGTAGTCATATATAATCCACCACCAAATGACAGAAGACACAGACAGGAATATGATAGAAACTACATGGCCTCCATTAACATAATAGAAAGAGCAGCTTCTGTTGCTAGCAGGAATGGATCTGGACTACTAATTATGAGAGACTTCAATCATGGGAAGATAGATTGGGAGAACAGAGACCCGCATGGAGGACCAGAAACATGGAGAGCTAAGCTGCTGGACGTGGCAACAAGAGACTTTCTAAGCCAGCATATCAAGGAACCAACAAGAATGAGAGGAGACGATGAACCAGCAATTCTTGATTTGATATTTACCCTAAATGAGTGGGAAATAAGGGAAGTTAAGATGGAAGCGCCCTTGGGAGTGAGTGACCACAGTGTATTGAACTTTGAGTACCTGGTAGAGCTAGGAATTATCTCCCCCAAAAAAGAACTAGGAATCAAAAGGCTGGCATACCGAAAGGGGAATTATGAACAGGTAAGAAGTTTCCTAAGGGATTGGGACAGAGCCCTCAGAGATATGCCTGTACAGGGTATGATGGACTATGTTACCCAAAAGTGTCAGGAGGCAGTAAACAGGTTCATCCCAGCCCAAAGGGAAAAATCCGAGAAGCAACAGAAGAATCCATGGTATAATACGGCATGTATGGAAGCAAAGAAACTGAACAAAAGGGCGTGGAGGAACTTCCGGAATAACAGAACACCAGGAAGCAGAGAGAGATACCAGAGAACCAGGAATGAGTACGTCAGGGTGAGAAGAGAAGCAGAGAAAAGTTTTGAAAATGATATAGCACACAAAGCCAAGACCGAATGAAAGCTACTCCACAGTCACATCAGAAGGAAAACAACAGTGAAAGAACAAGTATTGAAACTTAGAACAGGAGAGGACAGGTACACAGAGATTGACAAAGAGGTGTGTGAAGAACTCAACAAGAGGTTCCAGGAGGTCTTCACAATAGAACAAGGTGAGGTCACTGTGCTAGGAGAAAGGGAGATAAACCAGGCAGCCTTGGAAGAGTTTGAAATTATGAGAGAGGAGGTCAAGAGACACCTGCTGGATGTTAGAAAGGCTGTTGGTCCAGATGGGATCTCACCATGGATACTGAAAGAGTGTGCAGAGGCACTTTGCTTGCCACTCTCCATAGTGTATAGTAAGTCTCTGGAGACGGGAGACCTATGAGAAATATGGAATACGGCGAATGTGGTCCCAATATACAAAAAGGGCAACAGGTAAGAGGCGCTGAACTACAGGCCAGTGTCCTAGACTTGTATACCATGCAAGGTGATGGAGAAGGTCGTGAGAAAAAACCTGGTAACACATCTGGAGAGAAGGGACTTCGTGACAAATCGCCAACATGGGTTCAGGGAGAGTAAATCTTGCCTTACAGGCTTCATAGAATTCTACGATCAGGTGACAAAGATTAAGCAAGAAAGAGAGGACTGGGCGGACTGCATTTTCTTGGATTGTCGGAAAGCCTTTGACACAGTACTGCATAAGAGGCTTATACATAAGCTGGAGAGACAGGCAGGTGTAGCTGGTAAGATGCTCCAGTGGATAAGGGAGTACCTAAGCAATAGGAAGCAGATAATTACGGTGAGGGGTGAGACCTCTGATTGGCGTGAAGTCACCAGTGGAGTCCCACAGGGGCTCTGTACTCGGTCCTATTTTGTTTCTGATATATGTAAATGATCTCCCGGAGGGTATGGATTCATTTCTCTCAATGTTTGCTGACGATGCCAAAATTATGAGGATTAAAACAGAAGAGGACTGTTTGAGGCTTCAAGAAGACCTAGACAAGCTGAAGGAATGGTCGAACAAATGGTTGTTAGAGTTTAGTTAACCCAATCAAATGTAATGTAATGAAGATAGGTGTAGGGAGCAGGAGGCCAGATACAAGGTATCATCTGGGAGAGGAAATTCTTCAGGAGTCAGAGAAAGAAAAAGAATTGGGGGTTGATATCACGCCAGACCTGTCTCCTGCAGTACATATCAAGAGGATAACATCAGCGGCATATGCCAGGCTGGCCAACATACGAACGGCATTGAGAAACTTGTGTGAAGAATCATTCAGAACTTTGTATACCACATATGTCAGGCCAATCCTGGAGTATGCAGCCCCAGCATGGAGTCCATATCTAGTCAAGGATAAGACTAAACTGGAAAAGGTTCAAAGGTTTGCCACCAGACTAGTAGCCGAGCTGAGAGGTATGAGCTACGAGGAGAGACTACGGGAATTAAACCTCACTTCGCTGGGAGACAGAAGAGTTAGGGGGGACATGATCACCACATTCAAGATTCTGAAGGGAATTGATAGGGTAGATAAAGACAGGCTATTTAACACAAGGGGCACACGCACAAGGGGACACAGGTGGAAACTGAGTGCCCAAATGAGCCACAGAGATATTAGAAAGAACTTTTTTAGTGTCAGAGTGGTTGGCAAATGGAATGCATTAGGAAGTGATGTGGTGGAGGCTGACACCATACACAGTTTCAAGTGTAGATATGATAGAGCCCAATAGGCTCAGGAATCTGTACACCTGTTGATTGACGGTTGAGAGGCGGGACCAAAGAGCCAGAGCTCAACCCCCGCAAACACAACTAGGTGAGTACACACACACGTTTAAACATGTTTGACTATTTAGAGGCGGCTCCAAAGAGCTGAAGCTCTACCCACACAGACACACAAATGTAAAACAAATACAAATAGTAAATACACACACGTTCAAAACATGTTTAACACAGGTGGGGCCCAGGAACTGAAGTCCAACCCCCACGTAACCTCAATTTGGGTTAACAAATAGTAAATACACATACACACACGTTCAAAACATATTTAAAGACAGGTGGGGTCAAGGAACTGAAGTCTAACCCCCACGTAAGCACAATTAGGGTTACTCCCCTCAAACACCGAGGTGAGTACAACTAGGTGAGCTTACACTCACACGCGCACGTGCGCAAACGTACACACTTCCACTCAGAGGCCGGGCCCAAGAACTGAAGCTCGACCCCAAGTATGCACAATTAGTGTTACACCACTCAAACACTAATGCCTATCACTGATAATCACATTTAAGTAGCTACTGATATTAAGTACTGATAAGCTCACTTATCTACTGAGAGGGCGGGCCCAAGAACTGAAGCTCGACCCTAAGTAAGCACAATTAGTGTTACACCACTCAAACATTGATGCCTATCACTGATAATCACATTTAAGTAGCGATTAAGTACTGATAAGCTCACTTATCTACTGAGAGGCCGGGCCCAAGAACTGAAGCTCGACCCCCAAGTAAGCACAATTAGGATTACACCACACAAACACAGATGCCTATAACTGATAATCTCAGTTAATTAGCGATTAAGTACTGATAAGCCCACTTATGTATGCACTAAGCATGTTCCTAAGATAACATATCTGATAACAACACCTATTACATCAGATCTGGCGCGATAACAGGTGTCCTGCCCTGTCAATAAGAGAACTACTCACACACACACACACACACACAAGCAAATAACCCAAGCAAATGTAATGTAATGAAGATAGGTGTAGGGAGCAGGAGGCCAGTTACAAGTTATCATTTGGGAGATGAAATTCTTCAAGAGTCAGAGAGAGAGAGAAAGACTTGGGGGTTTGTCATGGTGTTGTTTCATCATCAACTGCGACTTCTTTAGGTGCTCGCTTGCCACGTCTTGATACTTCTTCAACTTCGACTGGATCTCACTCAACAGACGACTTCCATCAGGGAGAGAGACGTTTCCCAACAACCTTTCACTCAGCAACTGGATTAGGCCTCTCACTTGGTGTCCGAAAACTAATTGGAACGGGGAACAACCCAAGGAATGCTGTAAACCATTTCGAGCTGCAAACAAGA